AGTAAAATAGCTGGGACACAAGCTAACGTGTTGATGTAAGCATACTTTTCCATTCTGATGAACTCAGTTGTAATTTATGCACAAAACCATCAGTCTTTTTGTCAATTCAGTGTTGCTGAGCCAAAGCAAAATTTGGCAGAAGCAGAGAGATGGAATCATGATGTGATGAGTTTATTTTTGACTGCATCAGAATGCAACAAAGCTGGAATTGCCTGATTAAAATATTGGACTGAAACACTGTCAGAACCTTTGAACTCTTAAATCATAAAACAAACTCAGAAAAGAAATGTCGTCCCTTTCAACACAACCTCTGATTTTATCAACACATCATTTTTTACATTGTATTCTTTTGAGGCCAAATGGATTAGTCTAGAATTAAGCTACACTAAGCACGCTGAGCCAAAAACCATCTCCAAAATCAACAAGGAAGCAGCAACACAAGATATGTTACTAGACAATAAGCAAAATAAATCAGTTATCTGAACATACTAAAACCTGACAGGTGTTAACCATAATCCCAGGCCAAACCCCCCCCACCCCCCAAAAAATAAGATCCAACATTTTATAAACAATAAACTAAGATGGTCTATCAAATACCATTCATACCTATATATGTATCAGCAAGGAGAAAGTAGAATATTTACTCTGTCCAAAGAAACATTTACACAAACTAAATCGGCCTTTGCTTTAGTTTTTCCAGTTGTTAATTTTAATTGTTCCACTTCCCAGATTTGATTCAGTAGGAACTGGATCCAATTTGGAAACACATTGGGTGCAGTGATTCAATGCCATCTGGCTAGTCTTCAACCGAAGCCTTGTGTTTAGAATTACACCATAGTGCCATTTCCAATTGTATTACACTGTTAGTCAGAGTTATAGCGGAACGGGTGGCAAACTAGGTCTTTATGCCAGATATATTGTTAGCTCTGGTGGGCAGAGTTTGAGCTGGAAAACTACAAGCTAGTGTGATAGATTTCACAGTGGTTTACAACTTCACTCTGGTTATGAAAATCTCAAATGTTTTTCACAGAGTGGAGGGCAGAAAAGTGTAAAGCATAGAAAAACTGCTGTTTGCTTGGCAATGATTTACTTTCTGATGTGAACGGAAAAATTCTGATCCCATAGCAGTATTAGTCAGACTTCACTCCTGTTCATTATGTTTTCAAAAATCTTTCATCATTTTTTTTAATACAGAATGATTAGGTGAGTTTGTGTTGCTACAGCTGCAGCAAACATTTGAGAGATGGCGAAATGAGCAAGGAGCAAGGATGCCATTCAACCCAACAGGTAACAGGGGGATACACCTAGCTCTCATCTGAGTTCAAACATCAAACATGCCTCCAAGCACCTTTAAAGCTCGTATTTAACATATTCTATCTATTGTTTCATTCTGTACACAAACAGAAATGTCATTACTAAAATAATTTGTATGTCGTGTGTTTTAGGTGTTGATAGGAATAGTTTTTACTTGGGAGAGAGACGGGCTTGATGTTTCATACTGCTTCCAGTCGTTCCACTAAGCTAAACTCACCAACTCCTGGCCCGAGTTCCGTACAAACATGAGATGGGTGTTGGTCTTCTAAATTCACACTGGGAAAGAAAGTGAATGAGCAAATTTCCCATGCTGAACTATTCCTTTAAAACATCTTTGAACTCATGTCAGAAAGATCTTTAGGCTCTAATTCTACGAAATGATGTGGACATCAGCTGTGGGTTTCATCATCAATGTCACATAAACGCTGGTTGTCACAGCAACATTTAACATCAACATGTTTTCTTGGATTGATCATTACCTTTGTGATGGCAAACACTCCTCCTCCGTTCAGCACTGGTTTACGTTTGCCATCTTGTAAAACTTTGTTTCATTGAACTGGCATCACTGATGTTGATTTCACAACGCTGGCTCTGATAGAAACACAGACATTAAGCCTCACGGCTTGCAGCAAACTAGAGTATCAACAAGCTGCGTTTGTGATCACCAGCCAAGACAGAGAGCAGTAGGAGGATGAGAGAAGTATTAAAAGGTGAGCGACATCTGGCTTTCTGTGATGACACAAACTGACTGGGTGAACAGGGAATTTATGTACACAGTCTTTTTGACGTTTGTATGAGCACAGATACACACATTCACATGTGTACACACACACTGCTGTTCTAAGCTAAAGTGCTGAGGCACAATGGGGTTTTCTGTTTTATAGTTATTTTTGTTCTGTGCTTAGTAGAAACCAGTTTAATGACACAAAGATTATACTGGGCACTCCACTGAACATGACTATATTGTATATGCTGCACATTTTCCCAGAACTTATTGTTGTAGAGATGCATGTACACATTGAGATGAAATTAAATCCTGTTTATTTTAAATCTGCTCATTTCCCTGGTGTTGATACCTTCCATAAAAACTCTCAGAAAACTCACAAGATATAACTGAAAGGTATACTCCCTAACTCCACAAATCACATCAAAACATGTGTCCATGTTTTGTCCATGTTTTGGTTTGCAGTTCTGTGTCTGCCTCTTGTGTCTTGCTTTACCTTACTTCCTGTTTGTGTATTCCTTGTGATTGCATAATGTGTTTTACCTGTGTGTAATCATCCTGCCAGCTTGTGTGTGTGTGTGTGTGTGTGTGTGTGTGTGTGTGTGTGTGTGTAGTCTGTGTGCTTCCCTGGTCTATCTTCATTTAGTGTCCAGTGTCCCTGCTTGTTACCCTTGTCTGCGTGTTTGCCTGCCGTGTGTTTTGCCTAGCCTCCACCATGCTAGCTGCCAGCCTGACTCCCAGTCTGCTAGCTCCCATGTCGCAAGCCACATCCTTCACTCTAGTCAATTAGATTGGGATGCATGAGCCTACACCCTGAAAATCCAGATTCTGTCCTGCCAGAAACCTGCCTTCTAGCCACTAGCCTTTGCTCCGGCCCACTTGCAGTCTGCCTGGATCCATGTCTGCTAGCAACCAGCAGTTACGGAGTCTGCTAGCATCCAGGCCACTAGCCACTAGCCATCGCCCCACCCTGCTAGTAATCTGCCTGCATCCATGCCTGCTAGCAACCAGCCAGCTAGGATCTGCCTGCCTGACTCCTGGCCTGCTCGCATCCGCCAGGCCGACAGCTTCCCCACTCACCTGCTAGTTTGCAACCCTGTCTATTTGCACCTCACCTGCTAGTCATCTGCCTTTATCCCTGTCTGCCTGCACGCCTGCCTGCCTTCTAGCCAACAGCCTGACGACCAGTTTGCTAGCTTGGGTCCAACCAGTTTACTGCCTGTTCCAGCCCCAGAGCCACCCTGAGGCCCTCCAGAAGAAGCGTGGCTATCGCCGTAGTTGTGCCTCTCTCTCTGCCCAGCTCCTCATCCACACTGCTGCCAAGAACCTCATCCTCACTGCTCCAGCACCAGCACATGGACTCCTCGGTAACCTATGCAAGGATCCTGTATGCGGATTTTAGATCTGCTTTTAACACCTTCATCCCGGCTCTGGACACAGACTTCCTATCTGACAGGAGGCAGCATGTGAAGCTCGGAAAACATGCCTCTGACTCCCAGACCATCAGCATCAGTTCCTGTTCAGGATGCGTTCTTTCCCCTCTGCTATACCAATAGCTGCCCCTTTAATCACCAGTCCATCAAGCTCCTGATGTTTGCGGATGACACCCCCCTCAGTGGGCTCATCTCTGGTGGGGATGATTCTCCTTACAGGGGAGAGACTGACCATTCGTTGACCTGGTGCAGCCAGAACAACCTGGAGCTCAATGCTATTAAGATTGTGGGGAACATCACCTCCTACTTAAAGCTGTGTGCTTCCTTGGTCCTTTGTCACATGTGACAATATGTGAGCTGTTGCACTGAATAACTATAATAAATAATATACAAAACTAAAATTAAATTCATTCATTCTAATATGAGATACATATAACATACATACCCGGTGTTCTTGACTTAAAGAAGATGCCAAAGCACTACATCGGTTACAAAAACTCAGAGATTCTTCTCAAAATGAGTGCACTTTATTGACTTTATTTAAACACTTAACTTTCTAAATCAAATATCCAATATTTGTAGATCTGAAATCATGATAGAAGCATGGTAGCATTCTTTCTGCTACTCTCTGTTAGTGTTTGATGACAGTGGATTTCCAGTAACAGATCTGACTTCTGGATCGTAATTCATCTGATGTCATGTCTTTTTGGAGAGCCAAAGAAATTGCAGCTCTCACAGCTTAATCACTGTGTTTGACAAGCCTTAATGACAAATTAATGTACACAAAAGTGTACAGGGTTACATAGATGGAAAAACAAGGTTTAATTTACAACAAGCTGCACTTTTACAGGTATTCCTGCACCGCTAAGGGAACAAGATTGTAGAAATGTCTTGGCAAAGAAAGCAAGCTATTAAATGTGTCTAGAATACAACAACTCTGTATATAGAACAAGAGGTGCAAACAAACCCAACAATAGTACTGCAGTAAATGTAAAATGAAATTTCAAATACATTTCACAATATTCTCCATGCAGTGCATGTTTACAGTAGTTCAGAATTGATTGGTCAGAAATCACATATTTAACCCTGGAAACAGGTTTGTGATCCATTCTTCTTTTATTTTGAAAACTGAACTTTGTTTAAACAAGCTTTAAGCTTTTAATATTTCCATCAATGTTTTCTGTTACCGCTTCAGTGATGCAGTTATATAAAATTAAATGGCTGTTTGGGTTTGAGTCTTTATCGTTGATTTATGACAGAAACTGCTTTAGCAGATGTTCTGCAAAGGGGGAATTCTGGAAAAACACAAAATCCTACGCCTATCCATTCAAGTCATATATTATCCTACAGATTGAAACCCCTTGCAAAGTAACTACAACATAAATCAAAATGGAATGATGAATAAAGACTGTACAGAAACTAACCTTTTACAAAACATCCATCATCAGAGCAGAGCAGAATTAAGCATGTTAAAACACTTAGATAATACACCTTAAACTCATATTATTTAGTGTCACGAAAAACCTCACCTCTTTGGATTCACTGCTGGCAGGTCCCAGCAGGAGAGAGTACAGCACGTCTTTCCCTCCCAGGAAGAGGCGGTCACGATACTCATCCAGGAAGACAGCGGTAACAGAGAGCTGGCCATGATGACCGCTGAAAACAGAAGACCTGTTGGTGGACAGCAGATCTACAGAGAGAGGAGAGAAAAGGATGAGCAATGGCTTTCAAAAGAAACACACAGGAGAGATGGTGGAAGAAAATGTGATATTAGTTAAGCAGAATGAAGTAGAGAGGAAAGTACCAGAGATAATGATGCAGGGAGGAAGGAAAGATCAATGCAACTTAATTACCATGAACAGATATCTGCGTATGAATGCAGAATCTGTAGGCAAGGGACAAGATTTTGGTATCGGAGTTCTGGTTTCCATTTGTAGACTGTATGTAATCCGAGTCATATTGACCAATCATGTTTGAGTGGGCTTTTGTTGCATACAGGTAAATGGTCCATGTGTAGAGCAAAAGAGGTGGAAAGCATCAGCCAAAAGGCAGTCTTGGAACCAATCAGCTATCATCTGACAACGATTTAACTTTTTATCTATCTCAGAACCACAGAGCTTTTTATTGGCTTTTTAAAACTGTATTTGCATTCAAGTCATTGTCAGACAATAGCGGCTGGGTTATGAGATTGCTAATCAGACTGTGAACAATGACCGGTGCACGAAAGAGGTGGTGTTGGCCAAGATATGCGTTATCCAGATATTCGCTGGCTACACTGAACGTTGCTCCCAGAGGCTATTGTTGTCAGACGACTGCCGATAGGTTCCGAGTTCGAATGAAACTGATGAAAAGTTTTATTTTCAGCAAAGCATAGTCCCAGCAGGAGAACATACAAATCAAAAAGAGAACATAGAACAAACGTAGAAATTGAATAACAAAGAAAAATAAACTGCACATGGCAAAAAAAAGAAAATGTATGAAAGGGAAAAAAACAACACATATCAATAAAAAGCCATATCATTAGTTAGAATTATCCTGATTTGCTGAGTGTTCACAAAGAGGGCTTATGCAATTTACAGTCCTTTGAAGTTAAGTGTTTTGTGAGAACATTTTTGCAACTCATAGCAAAAGAGCAGAGCGCTAATCAGCCTTGCATGTGGCAGCTGCACCTGCTGGTTGTCCCCCCTCCACACCCAACCACCTAATGCTGTTTCAGATTGGAAAGAATCAGATCAGATTCAGAATTGGCCAAGCAAAATTGAAGCCCTTTCCAGAAGTGGAATACTTAACATTGCTGGCTTCATCTCTCTGTTAAAGTGATGGCATTTTGCCATTCAGACAGACGTTCATGTTCCTTACGCTCGTAGTGCACAAGAGGTAGCAGGGAGCTAAGAGAGAGAGTGAGCGAGAGATGTTAGTAGCATTCTTTCTCTCAAACTGGTATGATATTGGTTAAAGCTGGGGTGGGCCCTCATTGCACATGAAAATGTAGTTTGGGAGAGTTGCTTTGGAGGGACGCCTGAAGGGAGGGGATGAGATTTTTTTGGTTGTACACTTTGAAAATCTAGCTGCCTGTTGCCAGTTCTCTGTGGTGCTTACCCCAGCTTTGAACTTACTATTTGACAAGTCAAAGTTTTCATATCAGACAAAGTGGTGTATATATATGAAACACAAAATAATTATGCATAATAATTTTAAATTTCTTAAATGCTTAAATTAATTAGTAGCTGGTGTTGTAACTGTGATAGAATGTAGCAAAAACAGACAACATTTCATACTACTCCAAGTCAATCCATCTGATCATGACAACTGTATTTCAATCCAGTGATGCTAAATAGGTCAAACTACTACTGTTAAGTTTCTGAATTGCATGACTTTATGAGAGCACACACGATACACACTCCCATTTAAGTAAATATGTATCAATGGGAGAGCAGGAGTCCATTTGTGCACACCAGCCTACCCCTGGCTTACTTCTCTGATATGGCAGCAGCATCAAAGTCAAAAGGCTGATGCAAGGACTCTGCAGGAGAGGTAGAGACCGGGTTGAATTCAAGTTCAGCTAGACGTAGGGCGTCCCACACACACACACACACACACGTATATACACATTTATATGCCAGTACAAGCTCGCTCCTTTTCAGCCTCTTAGCCTCCCACAGTTTCTTCCACTTTCTCACACAAACACTTCTTTTATCTTCCTCTACTACTTTTCCTTTTCTGTCCTGACTCTTCTTCTTCTTCTCTATCTCTTTCTCTCTCTATCTTTGGATAATGAGATGAGGAGAGAAATATGTGTGTGAGAATACATCTTAGGAATGCCAAACTTTCAGTGGAGGATCTTTTGGCTCAATCGGTTTTCTGTCTACCTCTCATCACTCGTCTGTCACACTCGTTATTCCTCCTCCAACACACGCTAACCTGCACACACATGCACACGGTGAGAAAGTAGGCTCAGTCTCTCACCACTTAGTAAGGGTATTGAGTGAGTGAAGCACAGGGGCCCCGTGTACCAGTGACACCTTGTCCATCACTGGAGCCTTGCATACACACAGATGGTGTGTTTTTATTAGGAATCTCAATTTCTTAAACTCATAAGCTTCCACACAGACACACATCTGCATACTGTCAAATATAAAATGTTGTTTATTAATTAATCCAAAACCCAGAGAGAGACAATTCAATATGATGGAGAACATAGAAAAGCAGATATGAAAAGTTAAAACCAGAGAATGTTTTGCAGTTTCACTTGATAAATTATTTCACTGATTAATCAATGATTAACTGTCGGTCAATTGACTAAATTTTCTCTGTACCAGTGGGTGTGTTACACACTTTGGGATGATACGGGGCTGAATAGATGCCTCCGGCGTTTTACTCTTTTTTCAGTCTTGCTTTGCCTGCAGGCACAAACACATACACACACATACAGATTTTTACAAACACAACTGTGTCTTATCTGACTTACCATGTTTTCCTTTTCATATTTACTCCCTAATATGGTCTTTACAGCTGCCAAATCAAAACCATGGTGAACCAGCAACTGTGCTGAAACACTCTCCTCCGCTGAGATCAACCAGCATTGAAACCTGTTAAATGTTGTTACAAAAAAAAAATCCTCTGAAGACAGTGATGAAGGTTTGGATATAAAACTTTAAAGCAGCTGGCAAGAGAATAACAAGGAGGCACACAAGCAAGAAGACATGAGTGATATACTGCCGGGAGGGAGGAAGAGAGATAGAGAAAGAAAGATTTAGCAGCAAGTCTGAAAATAATGAGGAGGGAAAGAAATAGGCAGAGAAAACCACATGACATACAGAGACAGAGTGTCGTGGTATATGATGGATTGATTGGACCTGACAACATAAGCAGAAGAAAAGTGAGACAGAGATACATTTTAGAACTGTTTTACATTAGATACTGTGTCATTGCATAATGTGCTTTTTCAGTCTAAAGGTTTTTTTCTATGTAATTTGATGTTTTCATTTCATTGTGACTTTTTTAACAGATGTTTTCGATGTTTTAACTCTTGTTTGATGAAAAGCCGATAAAGTCACAATAGTTCACCACCTAGCGCAGATTCAACATTAGCACTCATGCACTGAAACCAGTAGACATGTAGAGGCCAGACAGTTCAGCTGGATGGTCTAATATGGGTTTTCATGACCCAGTTTATCAGCAGAACATGTAGACAGCCTGACACATCGTCCGCTGATGACTGTCTGTCTCCACAGGTTCAACTTTTTCCATGTAGCTCTGAGCCCTGAGATGACCTTTGGCTGCGGAGAGTGAGTGATGACGAATGACAAGATATTGTTTGAGGGAAGAACATGTGGATATACATGTGTGTGCTAAGACATTTAACAGATAGAGTATGTATTAGGCGGAGGTCTAATTTTCACGGCACAACTTGCTGTTTTGACAGGAAAGACTGCGAAGATGGATACTGCCACGTTACTACAGCATAGTTATCAAGCCATGTGTAAAATATAAATACAATTTGAGAGTGCGCTAACACTATCTGACCCCCACCAACAAGGCTCAGTAGATCTGCCATATTTATCAAAATTATTAACAATTAAGTAAATAGAGATTTAAAGTAAAAAAAAATCTAATCAAACTCTAAAACTTTGCGGTGTCCCATGGTATAAGGTTTACGACACATTTCATGTAACGATGTATTCTGACCAGGGACCTTTGTTGCATGTCATACTCCTTCTCTATCCCTGCATTTCATGCCTGTATGTGGCTTATACATACTTTCTATTTGACGGCTCTGTGAAGTTGTACTTAGGCACAGCGGTGCTTTGAGCTAACTGCTAACGCCAGCATGCCAACATGAACCTTAGATTGCCAATAAACACAAATTACTGCTGAGGCTAACTGGAATGTCATCAGTTTTGCAAGTATTTAGTCATAAACAAAAATACTGGACATACTGTTGACCTGATGGTGGCGCTAGACAAAGTCAGAGGTTATCAAATTCATCCTGTCGGAGTGCTCACCAAAGACTAAGTTGATTCATCCGCTCAGGACCATGAATGTCTGGGAAAGACTGAAATCTCTCAACATCTATTTGATGGATTGCCATGACATTTTGTTCAAAGGAGCACCTCTTTCTTCCAGAACAGGAACAGTGTGGTGTTACTCTTCGCCCCAAAGTTACACCAAAGGGGTGCTTGGTGTAACTTTAGAGCACATACCTTTCCATAAAAAAAACTTTGGCACTCACAGCAAACAAAGCAAGAGCGCTTCCAACTGCAATTTAAGATGACGTTGTGTGTCTCTGAACGATGATTAGCTGCTTAACATGCACAATAACATTGTCACAAATCTTTCAGTATTTACTTAATCGTTGTTTGATCACTATGGACAATATTTTCAAAGATCCAGATACTGACATTTCACCCATAAATGGTAATTATCTGATTCCCTCAAGCTTTCTTGCACACTGTACCTTGTTTCATTTAGTCCTTCATGCTGTAAACACACACTCATTAAAACACCCAGGCCTGGAAGCAGATTCCTGTCTCTCTTCTTTCTTTCTACCTTTGTATCTTATAAATCATTCAGAAATATACACAAATCTCCCTCAAACAACAACACTGTAAGGACATAAATACCACAGTAGCACACACACTGACACACACACAAACAGAGGGGAAAGGTGAACTAACAGCTTCCATCTGT